AGCTCCATTTCAATTTCCAGGTGTTTCTGCTCACGCTGCCTTTTACGTAATTCTCTACGTAACTTTCGCTCGAGACTAACTTGCCCCGATTCATCTAGATACAAGAAAGCAACGTATAATTTTTTTTCTTTATTATCTGACACTTCTGGTTGAATCCCGAAAGTAGTATAAAATGCCCTTCACCTTCAAGGCCCGAGCTGCGCGAGGTTCCGTCAGGTGAGGACAATGGTGAACCGATGTTGTGAGGACTTTGTGACATTGTAAAAAGCAAGAATAATCCCAAAAAAAAAAATAAATAATGAATAGTGAAAAGCTTTTAATCTCTCAGGGGCTTCGCAGTTATTTATGGTATATTTTAAGATATATTTTATTTGCGCTATTTTTGGCATTGTACAACAATGCGAGTTGAACAGTAAAATCACGAATAAGATTGACATTGTTTCTCAAAGGGTTTATGAATTTTTTCTATGATAATGTCGGGTAATAACAAAGCTGTAAATCCTGTGCTCGACTCGATTAATTTTTTCAAAGGTAGTTTAATTAGAAAGCTTAGTCCGTTAAATTTTTAATTGCTTAAGTGAGTAACCTTATTTTCCATCGTTTTTTCAGATATAATTGTTGGTGCCCTATTAATTCTTAAGCCAATCTTTTCTCTGGCACTCGCATTATTGATTGGATACTTCGCGTTGAAGTTTGTGTCAAATTCATTTTACGATGACGCATCTTTGATAGTTTGCAGCATGCCCTTATTAGGCGTGCTTCCACTATGTCAAACACCAATTCCAGATTTTACAAAATTGGTGAATCGACAGGTTGACACCTACGAACAAATAATGGACCAACAGCTATCGTATAACGGACCATCGTCATCACTAGCATTAGATATTAAGAAGGCGGAGCTTGCGACGGCGGATTTAAGAACCCTCATAAAATATTCTACGTTAGTAAGCGCACCTGAAATAGTTAATAGATTAACAGAATTTGTTGAAAAGGCCAGAAATGTTGGAAGGAATCTACAGGTTTTGCAGTCTAGAACTAAATCCTCACTCGATAATTTGATCACGTATAATTTATTCGCCCTGAAGGCATTGGAAAATGTTCGGGATAAGAAACTTAGCGGGAGGGAATTAATAACAGCATATAGTCAGATGATGACCTTGATTGAAGGGGATTTGAAAAGAATGATTCTTGTAGGACAGGATGCTCTTGGAAGGTGAGAATAAGTACGATATTTAAGTGCATAAATTACAAATCTATTAATTATAGAACATGCCCTCTGAAAACCTGCAGTCTGACAGACTTGGATGGGATATTGTTATCCATTCATGAGTTAACAACCAAAGAAGCATCATTACAAAGGGCCGAACGCGGAAAACTACTGGCCGAGCTATGGTCCATACTTGGAGGCAATTTGGAAAAAAAACAGATCTACAGAGAAAATTTTGATCTACTTCAAGACTTAGAGAGGCAAAGAAAGATAGCGGTATCACAAGTACAGGCCACATTATATGGTTTAACATCATTTCAATTGGATATAGAGGAATTAAGAGAGCAAGTATCAAGACCGTCAATGATCGAGATGCCAATTGAAGTGCATATAGAAAATGTTGGCAAGGGTATAGAGAGACTAAGAAAGAGCAAGGTGGTACTGAAAAGTGGAGGAGTTATTAGCGAGGAAAAGCATAAGATGATCGACTCTGGAAGTGAGAATAAACCTATCGTTAATGTTAATGTTAACAGCAATGTAGATACTAAAAATGACATTGATGAATAAATGTACAGGTATCTCTAAAATAATAATTTTATGTGAATTATAAATAAAGCAGGTTTTTCGTCATGTTTTACTTTGTTTAATACGCGAATAAGAATTTGTATTATTGAGATCCTCATTAATGAATGTGATGAATTAAATGACATGTCTAAATTTAAGTTCTCATTATAACATGCATTATCAGTTAACTTAATCAGATAGATATATGATTGAAGTTACATAAAGTAATCGTTGCTAAATAATCTAAATATTATCAATGGTAACTTGAAAAGCAAACATTTCATATTACTAATTTTAATAAACTTTAAATTAAAAATTTGTAATTATTGATATTTTAAATAAAAATACCTATTGTTATTATTAAAAATAATAGATAAGTTTATTAAAATCAAAACATATAATAATAAGTTAAAACTAAATTTAAGTATAAAAATTTCTTGAAAACTTAATATAATTGTTAGATTTTTGTATTATAAAATATAATTGATAACAACGAAATATTGATTTTTAAATTACCAAATACAATATTAAAATTTGGATTCGAAACTAATCTATATTTTAAATTAAAAAAAAGAATCAATTAATATTGTATTAACAAAATTTTATTGATTTTTTTTTTATTAAAAGTAATTAATAATTATATGTTGAATATTTAGACATAAGATATAGCATAAAATATTTTCTTTTGAAAAAATTTAATTAATAAAAAACTTTAATAATATGATATAAAAATTGAATTATATAATTTAAAACAAAAAAAATCACCTAAAGCTAAAATTTTATTTTTATTAATAATTTAATTAATAATTAATCAATTAAGATAAAATATATTTGTTTGTTTGTTTGAAAATAGAAAGAATAAATATATACATATACAGTATATATTAAAATATTATTATTAAAAATCAAGTTTTTTAATTTTTTTATTATTTACAAAAAAATAACAATTAATTATTTAAATAATTTTAATATATAAATAAATTAATTATAAATTAATAAACTTTAAAATATTTTTTTTTTATAATTTTTCAGGCTTAATATTGAGCTATCTACTTTTTAATAAACTTAATAATAAATTTTTTAACAATAAAATAAAATTTAAAAAAATTATTGAATCTTAATTATTTTTTTAATAAAATATTTTTTACTATTAAAATATTGTTTATTGAATTAATATAAAAAAAAAATAGCTAAAGATATTTTTAAAAAACAAAAACTTTTTTTGTTCATCTCAAATTTTTTAATTAGAAAGTTACAAAACAAAAACTTTTTATTTTTTTAAAATACTTATAACTAAAAAATTAAAATCATTCCAAATTAAAAAAATATCTCTTTAAAATTTTATATTTCAATATTATACTTTTTTATTTTATATTTTATAAAATAAAAAAAATAAAATAAAAGACTTTTTTTTTTTAGCAGAATATAAGACAAATTAACTGATTTACAATTAAATCTTAAAAAACTGATACTATTTCTATTCTTATAACTATATCAATATTAGATTAAATATTTTGCTTAATATTATAAAAACCTTTAGAAAGTCAAATTTTATCCAATAAATTAAATAATTTTATTATTACTTTAAAAGTTAAAAGATTTTCAAAACTTTATATTAATTAAACAAAATTAAAAAATTTTTAAATATATATATAATCAATCTAAAAAATTAAAAATTAATTTATTTTTATAAATTTTGATTATATAAATATATTTTAAATTTACAATAACAATAATTAACTCATATAATAAAATCATCAAATATATAATATTAGTAATAAAATATATACACAGTAAAATTTGATATAGCAGATATTTGATATAGTAGAAACATATAAAAATCTTAATATAGTAAAATAAACTCAAAAACAGCTATAATAAAATAATCTTAATATAATGAATTTAATAATAAAATTTAAAAAATCCCACTATAGTAAAATTTTCAAATTTTTTTACTAATTGCTCTAGGGTTATGTTATATTAAATTTCACTGTATATATAACTTATTAAATTCTATATTAACTATTAAAATATATAAATAACCTATCAAATTAAGTGTTATAGTAACAATTTAAATATAAATAATATTAATATTCATGTTTACATTATTAAAAATATATATTTAAATATTACAATATATAATAACCTTATAAAATATATCATAAAATATAATAAATAACTTCTAATAACAGCAATTACTATTATACTACCAGTCTTAATAACAACTACATTCTCAAATCAACTATTAACAAATTCAATCCTAATTTTTCTTAATATTATCTTAATAAAAAGAAATAAATAACAAGTATCTATTATTTATTTGGATTTTAAAAATCAAATTACTGTAATCAACTTATCAAGTTTCTTTACTATTTTTTACTTACTAAATCATTTAACAAAATAATTTATATTTACTATTAATGTAACCAAATTCAATTTTAAAAATATTTTATTTTTTAAATCAAATTTTATTCTAACCAAGATAAAAACTTATTGAAAGTATTTATTTTTTTTATTATTTTACTATTAGAATTATACATGTTTTTTTATTATTATAAAAAAAAAATTGATTAATAATCCAATTCTGAATTAAATATGATTTTTAATTATTTACTATATATTATTTAATAATTTTAATATAATATAGTTTTTGAAAAATGTTTGAATTTAATTTTATTATATATATAATCAAAATTTTATCAAATTTTCATCTAGTTATTATTAAATAATTATAAAAAAATTATTACAATTCTTTTTTTTTTTTTTTTGTAGGTAAACATCATTTCTTTATTTATTTGTATAATAATAGATATACATTGCGAAAGAAAC